AGGGAGCCACAAAAATGTATTTTTAGTTTAGCCTCATTTACAAAGCAATAACAACATTTCGAATTGCGGCACTCTCGCGTTCTGAAAAGTTCGTTGGAGATCATTTGAATTTTTGACGAACGCGCCGAATTCGTCTGCATCGGAGGCGAAACTTTGGCAATGAACTAGTCGACTCGTGGCCAAGGCTATAACTCTGCGCTTTCCTTTCTCATTAATTTTGCTGTTTGCGCCACCGAGGTTTGCGTTTCGTTTTTAATTAACTTTAAAAAGCCACTTGCGTTTATGGTTAGTTAATTTCAGGAGTCTCAAGAGTCGCGAGACGGAATCGATGAAAAAACTTCTTGTCGATGACGTAACTTTTTTAGCGTGGCTCGAAGTAGAAATTTGGGAATTGGTTTTTGTTGAAATTATCGACACACGCCGCCAGAACTTTCGCGAGCAATAAAAGTTAAAAGTTATGCGCGTTCATTGTCAAGCTAAAAATATATTTCACAACTTACAAAAATTCAGTAAAAATACTAGATGAATATTATCTAATAGAATTCAAAATTTTAGGTATTTCTAAGAACTTCAAAGTATTTAATAAAGTTGGTATACGGTCAAGCAACCCCTCATTGGCGTATTCTTGAAGTAGCTCTACTGACTCATTACATATTGCATATAGGTGAAATCGACCCCACCAGTAAGTCCAATGTAATTCTGATGGAAGTGACCCTTCATTGATGTCCAAGTGCAAAGACTCGAGCACAACATACAGTTATCGGCACGCTTTCGCTTGAAGAAGCTCCCTCTTTGTGCGAAAAGACGGGGGGAAGCAAAAAGTGCACTCAACTAAAACAATATTTATACACAGTACTAAAGACAAAGAAATGCCAGAGCAGTCTCTGTATAAATATATGCCAAAATAAAAAATTCACCCCGCGTGCGCACATGCGAACTTTCAATGTTTTTTTTTTCACATTTTGTCTTCGTTTTAGCAAAGCAACGGCAAAACAACCATCGAAACGTCTGCGTTATGCGGGATCGCAGGGCAACTCGAGTCAGGAAGATGGAAATATATAGCCATCGCTATGGGGTGCATTATTATTTGAACGAAAATCCCATGGGCAAACGGGGGAAGGTGAGGAGCACCGACCGGTGGTGGCAAGTACAGATCGGAATGGGTAAGAAAAAAAGGGAAAACTTGCAGTCGAGGGCTGAAAGATACTCGTCTTGCATACTAATACTGCACACGACCTTTCACAGGGCACCCTCAGTCAACTCGTGGCCTGTGGATCATGCTTTCGACTGCAATTTTCGTCGGATAGTTGATTGCGAAAAAACACGCCCGCTTGTTTCTTGGCCCTTGCTTTATGTGATATTAATGTCTTCATTTTAGATTTTTATCGAGAGCGATTTGTTTGCCTCGTTTTCCGAGGCAAAACACCCGAAACAGAAACCGTTGATTCCGCATCCGGTCTTAATAAGTATCAAACGTGCGTCAAACCCAAACAAAGCACTCATTGTTCATGCACATCTAAAGTTTTCCAGCCAGCTTCTCAAAGCCTGCGCGAAAATAACACAACGCCGACGCAATAGAAGTAAGTACCAGTGTTTTATATATTGTTGGATTTTTTTTGTATGCCGCGTAGACTGTCTAATCAATATTTCACTCGGGGGCATTGGGGTAGTTGTATGCTTTTGGTGCACGCTGAAGGGGACGCCTTTGCACGGCCGTCCCACGGGATAGACTCATTTAAAATGTTGCATGCGAAGGGGCAGACGTTAGACGGCGAACAAGAGTCACAAATTTGGAAGGACGTCAGACGTTATGATTTTCATTTCGGTGGGGGCGCGCCTTTACTGATATACAATAGCAGCACATTAAAATCAAATATTCAATTATATTGGTCTTGCAAAATATTTTCCAGCCAAATTATTTTCTGTTTAGGTATATTAACTTTTTAGTGGTCGAAGACATCCGCAAACGTGAAAGAAATAAAATAAACTTGAATTATGAGAAATATGATCGGGAATTACAATATACCTACATCTGTAACTTTAAATAAATTTCTTCAAGAAGTCAAAGGGGGTGCATTTGCTAGTATGTAAATGTGGTCCCCTTGGTCGGAATATCAACCGGAAATATAAAAATGACTCATATCTAAAAAATAAATTTGAAAAAGGGTGTGGTACAAGTAGGTGCTAATTTCATTTATATTCGCTTTATGTATGATAAAAACAAAAAGGAAATATTTCTTAACATTACGAGACATAATTATTATACCTACCTATCATTTTCGTCGATCTAGTGAACGTTAATTTAGCAGAAGTTATGCAAGCAATATGTTCAAATTCAGTATCAATTTTAGCATCTAAATGGAGCATAATTTTAATTTTAAATTGAAGACACTATACTTTTATTCTAAAATTCACAAGTTATGTATTAGATAACTACCTAAGGTTTAACCTGAATATTTTTTTTAATTTCTGGTGAATATTTCACAAAAACTAAAAATGAGGGGTGCATTGGGTTATAAGCTAACTTTCCTCAAATACAGTTAACCACACGTTAGCACTGTGATGTAACTAAATAATATTTCATCTTTAGTTTAATACGTAAGCGCTCACCGAATATAACGTGGTACTGCACATTATTATATCAGCAAAACTCTTACAGCAAACTCCCGCGAGTGTAGTTTTCTAACACCCAAAGGGTTTTCCTTTCCGCGTTTGCCAACTATCGTCGCTCCACCGCCCCGCACGTAACTTGCGCCGGCAGTCACAGTCGCATTTCGGCGTAACGTCGAACTTTCCAATTTAAACTTAAGTTGAGTTAACGACATTGCTTCCAACCGCCACCGCCGCCAACTTGGCGACTATTACGGCCGGCAGGACCAAAGAGCAAATAATTGTTACGTACGAGACGGACTTAATGCAAGGAAATTGGCTTTTATCAATGTAACATTACTACATTTGCTGGTTTACAGTTTGTACATCGTTATTACATACCCAGATAGCATTTACATAAATGCATATGCAAAATTACCTTTTATTTTAACTTCAAACATTCTTCTTAATCTTTTATATGGTATTTTATACTAGGTCAAGATGAAACTTTGTAGAATCTATGCAGGCAAATATAAGTTTTAAATCAAAGTTGAGAATAAATATTTGTTTCGGATTTAGTTTTGAACGTGACACGAATATATTACATTCAAAAACATTTTGCGTAAAAGTGCAAAATTCAAAAAGTAATTAAAGAAAGAGCGCAACCCCCATTTTGCCACTCGTATATTTCGCACATTGCACGAAAGGTGCGTAATTGAATAATTGTGGTCCCGCGGATAATTTACGACTAGGATACAATATGAGGGGTTGTTGCGATGTTGCGTGGCAATGTGCGTATGTGGGCCACAACAGAACGCATGTTAATGCAAAACACACAGCAGATAGGGTGTCGTAGCGGTGTTGGCGGCAGCAGAAGCGGCGTGAAATATGCATACGCCGGCGTTTGCGCCACCCCTTTCAGATACAAATTCACATCCTCTCTTTGCATGCCGACTAAAGTTACAATGTTATCCGCGAATAACGCGCCACTTTCCAAATGAAAAACGAAACAAGTACGAGTGAAAGAAAATCGAAAAAGCAATCATGGATGAATTAAATCTCCCTCCATTACCTGCTTTCATTGATTGAGATCACTGCAAATTTCACTCAGCACATTATTGACGTAATATTGAAAAATGATAATGGAAACGGCAAACTAAACGCAAAGCGCGCAAAAGAATCGGTAAATTAAAAATCTATTGTTGAAATTTAATCTCGCATGTTTCTATTCACCAGTTCTATTCAGGGGGCTCAAACCGATTTCAACTTTGGCGTATTCACGCTGCTTTACAATTTGTTCGTTTCAATTGATTGCTCCAATCCTTTCGACTTCTGCCAGTTGCATTCAAACATTATATTTTTTTATTTTAAAACTGACACATACAAATTGCGTTTGTAGTTTAAAAGGATGATTTAAACAATTTCTTTTGAATGCATTCGAAATATATATATATATGGGTACGTTGGACAAATGTCTGAAGCTAAGCCTGTTAAAAGGGTTTAAACGACTTCCGCATGGTTGTGCACCACCCTCTAATGAGACGCAGAATGCCACAACGAGCAGTACATCTAACCAGGAAAAAAAATGAATGCAAAAGTGTGACTCAAATTATTCTCCCCCTTTACGAAGCCATTTTAAAAGCCAACTTTGTGAAGATCGCGTGTATTTTTATGCTCGAGCATCATAAATATATTTGCTTACCGCTGCTTCACAACCCCTTTTGCTATTTGCCTTTTTCTGACGTGCGTAATGCCGAATGAATTAATAAATTTAACGATTCAAGGGGGAGAGCAATGTTGTCTGGTGACGTTCACCCGCTGAACCGCTCGACCGTGTAAATTATAAACAAACAACATCAGAGGGCGGATTCAGGATCAACCGCACATGCAAATATACAGTGCGTCTTCGTAATTATTAATCGTTTTCAAGCCGAAAAACGTCTATAAATAATTGGTATACCAATTTAATAGCGAAACAATTTTTATCATTTGTTAAAGGACGGGGTAAGAGGGTTAGGAATAATTACCTAGAAGGTTTAATTAATTTGATAATTTCCATATTATGTTAAATCAAATGCGTAGCAAGTTCGTTCTTGGCGCAACCAACCATTCAAGAACAAGAACATTGCGAAAATTGATTGAACTAATGGCATTGTAATTACGAAACAGCCGAACAAAAAACAGTTTCCTGCATAACTGATTATGCATGTATCGCTGCCGTCGATATCGCATTAATGACGCATTAATGTCTTATTAATGTTTTATACCGAATGGGAAATTGAATAGCTAATGAAGTAACTGCCAAAATTACCAACATACTATTACTACATTTCTTTCATATAATTTTTTTATCACATGCCGGTGTTATTATAGATGTTCATAAAGATTATTTATAATTTTAAAAATCTTACCTTTATTATGTCCTTTTCAATGGAAGAAACTAGCCGCAGGTTTCGTTTAGAGCCACATTATACTCTGCGTAAGATGATAGCTGAAACAAAAAGAGAGGCGTTTTAAAAAAAAGAATTAAAAGCGTCAGGAAGAAAACTGTGTATAATACTAAAACTCTTAAATTCGCCAAGAAAAGCAGAAACATATGAAAAATGCGCGCAAATATTTGTGTTTGGACCCTTGGGGATGCGAGTTAAGTTGGGTTAAAGACGTCCGGCTGGCCGCCACTCAAGCGTAAAGTCCTTTTTTCAGATTTCCTTTGTAGCGGAAGAAAGGGAATAAAAATAAATGTAAATAAACTTCACCCTCCTCGTCAAACGGTCGCGACGAAAAAAGAAGCGGAAAGAGATGCATAAAGGTATAACACTCACGAAAAATTTTGTCAAAAAATGAAACAGGAGACAACCCGAAAATAAAAACGGAAAAAAATCGCTGAAACCTGAAGAAGAGGAAAACCGAGCGAAAAAATCTATAGGTATATACCTATATACACATCACACACCACTCAAAACCTGCAACGTCAACACGTATACAGTATTTGGCATTTTGCTACTGCCCCTCCTCCTACGCTACTCCGACTGGAGGCGATACAAGACTTTACACTTTAGGGTTAAAGTTGAATACTTGGCATGTTATTCAATGCACGCATGTGTAGCCCCAGCATGAACTATGCCAAATTTGGTACTGTCATGTCCTTCCTTCCTTCCACCTATGCAATAGTACTACTTTTGTCGGTACAATCGTGTTACTGAAAGCAAGGAGTAATTGAATACAAGTTAAAAAAACATAAAAAAGCTTTGGTTTGTTGAATGCCAAACATGTCGGAATTGTCGAATTGGTATTTTTAGCCATAGCACATTTCTGAATGTTTGCTTGTAAACACAAGCCTAATGGGGGATGACACGAGCGATAAACATCCAGAAATAGGTATGCAGCCGACGCGACGTAATGAAGCCAAGGGAAGGGATGTAGGAAATAGTATCCGTGTCCGCATTCGAAACCGTAGTCGGCGGTGGCGGCAGCTACTCGGATGTTACGTTAAGTTTAACTACACTTTCAGCCTGAACAATCCTCGTGCGAACGGAAATTCGTGGAGACGTTACATAAGTACACAATCTACAAAGTGTCATAGGTCCTACCGTAACTGGTAACGCCACCGCCACCGACTTAGCCATCTCAACTAATTGGCTCGACGTATTTAAATAAAGGAAAATAAGCTAACGTAAACATAATCTATCAAAATAAATTTAGCTTTATGATTTCAATTGAAATTTACATCTACTTCGTAAATTTGATCACTTGCTGAGCACCATTCCTATTTCAATTACAGTTCAGTAAAATTTCATTGGTGTGAGCTGTCATAGGTCATCTTTTGTATCGCTCGTGTGGTCTACCAATTGTACATTTCACTTCACAGTTCTAATTTGTTACCAGTTGCTAGTTACCAAGTCTAATGCAAAGGACCCGGCGGTGATCCAGTTTCAGTTGGCGGTTTTGCAGCGCGCGTTGCTGTTACTGTTATAGTCCTGTCGTAATATCAATGGTCGCCATCGCACCACCACACCAACACAGACAAGGACATTCCAGGCCTGGGTTCGCATTAGCACGAAGTGACCGACGGCGGCGTACGTAAGTAAATACCGACCACTTTTCACTTATCTCCTTGTTTATGCATGAGAAACAATTCTGAGGGACGCAATGAACAAATTACCCAACTGCCACGATTGGCACTTTTGAAATTTTGCAAATTTCATTTAACCAAACCAACACTCCATCCCAATATATCCCAAGATATATTCTCTAACCTATTAAATGTTATATATTCCAGTTATAATTGTATTAGCGTGGCAATTTATATTGATTATAGATGAAGATAAATAAAACAAAATCACCAAGCAAAAATTTAAGAAAACCAATAAGTTATGGGTGTTGGTTCTCCGAACTTGATTGGTGTTGAAATAATATTGAGGCTCTTCCTTGAATCAAGCAAATCAAGGATAACGCAGATATTATTAGTTGGATCAGTGAAGGATGAGGATGAAAGCACTGTGGAAACCCGGGGCTAATATGATGAAAAACTGAATGTGGGTGAAATGCGAGTAGCCGAGCGAGTTGCGAACTTGGGAAAACTAAAGCTACAGAAATTGAGCAAATAAAATATATGCATACAGTGTGTTTGCGGATCGACAAACTCTTATAGTTTTAGGAAAAAGTTCTGTACACAAAATAATATCTTAGGAAGACTGGTGGTATGTAACGAAATGAGGAAAACGAAGCTGTGGACGAAGCAGCGCAAAGAATGAAAAGGAGCGGAAGAAGTGAGGGCTTCTGGAAGCCGAATGAATGAGTGAGCGCCCGCCACGCGAACTGAATTTTGATGCGACGAAAATGATACTATACCAGAGCGTCTTCCGCCTGGCTTTGCTCACATCTCACACTTTTCTAGTTTTCCATCACAACATTATTTGTTTTTTGGTGTCTCTTTTTGTTCATAATTATGATTATATACATTTGAAAAAATATTTCCTATACAAAATATTAGGTAAAAAGCCTATCACTTGATTACCATTTTTTGTACCAAACTCTATACACTAAAGATAATTGAAACGTTGACGCAATTATTACTATCTAGTACAATAAATCACTGCACAAACACAGTTTTAGGACACTCTTTACCTTCGATAACAACAACTACTAAAATATCATTATAAGTTTTTCTTTTTCAAAAAGCCCTGAAATTACATCGACGACTTCCAATGAACTGTGTAGATTTTATAGGCCAACGAATGACAAAATGGCGAAACTCTAATCCACTTCGGTGCGTGTTGCGCGTGTTTCGGAAGTGGATTTATGAAACGATATTTTTATTACGCCCAATAAATTAAGTGAACCGTCGTAAAATGTGCGAATCGAAAATATTTTCACAGTTCCGTTGTTATTAACTTATAGTTTCCGGAAGCGGGTAAACCTAGACGTATCGCAAACGGAAAATGAAAGCTGATGAAAGATACTTAAATAAAAACGCAAAACGAATACCAATAGAGTTGGGCGTGAATGCGAATCGAATTCAAAATGATTGAGAACAAAAGAAGGAAAGCAAAAACGGGGTGGAAATGGTGTGAGAGCATAAAGATATCGACATATCCACAAAGTAATGCGATGGCAATAAAATGACATTTTTTTCTTGTTTGTTTCGTCATGGAATGCACACTCAACACATGTTGTTATTAAATTAGGTTCTATAAAATTACTTAATTCAAGTAATATAATTAAAATAATCATTAAATAATTATAGGGGAATACGGTCAAAAGAACGTGCAACCTTCCTATTTGTTCAAAAGCTGTGAGGAATAACATTTATCGTTACGTATTTTTTCTGTGGAACCAGTTTTTTGCTATGCGTTTTGTTTTACATTTATTTATTGAATTTATACAACTTACTGTATTTCCATAAATCATGTATTATTTGTATTTATTTTATATTTATCAAAGTAAATTGTGTAGGATAATACTTCCATTAAAAAATAGGTTGACTGACTTATATTAAGTTATAAATGCTTCAATTATGTCTACATTTCTTAGAAAAATGAAAGGAACAGAAAAAGACTACGCCATAAATCGATTATGGCGTGCCGTTACATGCGAGTTATATTTCCTTTTTAGAATCCAACTCTATTCGACAGGAGTCAAAGCTTTTCATCAGTCGTCCATGCAGAGGTGTAGAGTTTATTTCCAAGTTGCATTTCCACGTTTCCGGTTCTATTTTCCTACCGTTCATGTTTGAATGAAAGCATCCAGGGCGTTGATGGCGCCAAATAACGAGCGGTATAACGAAACTATCACTATCTCCGTCAAATAATAATAATAATAATAGTTACATAACAATAATATAAAAGTACAAAATATGAGAAGAGCATGAAGAACTTGCGCTGGGTTTTTGGGCTCCGCTTGCGTGTTACCCCCGAAGCGCCAGATCCGTCATTATGACCGGAAGAAATGAAACGCCATCAAAACAAAGAAAATAACGGGCTAACCGAGTAGAAAATATTCTCAAAAGCAGCCGGACGTATTAAATGACGTCACAGGCATAACCATAATAAATATTTAACCTACTTTTCAGGAGTGCTTTATTTTTAATATATTAACTTGAAAAATATACGCATTAGTCACATTAAATGTGCTTTAAGATTTTTTTTATTACAGTCATAATGTACCGCCATCAAACAATGTGTAAACAAGGCCGAAAATATTAACAATGTTTGCTAAGCAGGCCTTAATGCACATAATGTGAGCTAGTAGCAAGCGAACGTGTGCAAACAAGCAGTGCGCTTTCTTTGTAAAGTATAAAGAATAACGAAAGAGCGGACAGGAGGAAAAAATAATTATTGCCCCTAATAACAACGTCTAATTTAATTTATCATTTTTAATGGAGTTGATAATTAACAGCGGAGCGCCGGACGAACAAGAGAGCAGCGAGTGCCATTTAAAATTTAATCTGCTTAATAAACGCTAATAAACGTTACGCTAATATATTCATTAATGACTTTTTTGTGTTAGAACTTTTCAAAAATTAAAATTTCCAAGGTGCGCACGTGCTTGAATAGCGTGGTGCATTAAAGTTTTTCTAAAGTCCTTAACGTGGTAATTGCTTGTCGACTCAGTTTCAGAAAGAAAAAACTTTGTTTCGAAACTAGACAATGTTCAAACATCTTAATTATTTGGGATAAAATATAGTGCCCTACATAGATACATCATATAGTATCATATGTTGAGAAGCAACAAAAAACATGGTCTTGAGTTTCAATAAATTGTAAAAAATCTTTCTTTGTTCCAGTGAGTTTTTGTTGTAGAGACAGATAGTCAACTAATTTCCAATTATATATTAATATTTAACTTTCTTACACTTGCTTTATCCTGAGCTTTTAATTCCTGTAATTTCTGACTTGTAAATATTCAAGACGCTAACCTCGGCTGCCGGCAGAGTGAGCGACTCCGAGCAATCACGCAACGAATCCAATTATCTTTTACGTTTTATGCTCG